GCAGTGGTTTCTGTCATTCGAATGACCCAGGCTTAGCTGAGAGCCCTCCCCGACCCTACTGCTCGTCCCCTAGCAAGCCCCGCCCGGGATTGCATGAATCCACCTTACCTGACCTGGGACCTTGGGCAAACGAGAAAACATTGGGCCTCCGTGTCCCCGCCATCCGCTCCGTCTTTCCTGGACACTAATCCCAGCAAGCGTCATTCCTGCCCAGGAGAGGAAGCCTCGGGCAGCACTTACTTCCTGTCCTTGAAGAGGCGATGAGGCTGCCTCTTCTGTCCCCCTGCCCTGCTTACATTCAGAAATACTTATCACCTCGCCTTTGCAGGTGTTTATGCTAATGGCTTATCAAGCCCCTTTCCAATGAAGGCAGCATTGAGGTGGTTCGAATCCGGCTCTGCTGCTTCTGTGAGATCTTAGAAAGTGATCTAATCCCTGAACCTCAGTTTCCTCATCTGTAAAACGGGGATGGTGAAAGAACCTCCCTCTTCTGGTGCTGTGGGTGTTGAGGAGCTGATGCTAGTAAAACACAGCTCGCTCTGGCACGTGGCAGGTGCTGTTCGGTTAGCTGCTGCCGCCGTTACCTGGTGCCCCGTGGCCACCGCCCTGCCCGGGAGCTTGCCTTGGGGTTGCAGAGCACGCTGTGGTGGAGCCCACCCTGGAACCCAGACCCTCGACCCCTGGCCTGGCCTAGTTGACTGTGTGAGTCATGTGGCTGAGTGGGCCAGACCTCTGACAGTCTTCAGGAAGAGCAGGCCTTGGGGACCCGCCTGTATAGGAATGCTCACATGGAGGTTGAGCTACTGGAGCTTTGGAGCAGAGGGCATCCAGCCTCACGGGACCCCGGGGAGATGGAGGCTGCATGGCCTCCCTGTCAGGGCAGAACTGGAGGCCTGACACCTCCCTGCCCCCTAGGGTATGACCATCCGGCCCCTGGTAGACCTTTTGGCTGTGAAGAAAAAGCAAGAAACGAAGCGCTCCATCAACGAGGAGATCCACACGCAGGTACTGGACGCTGGGCCCTCGGTTGCAGGAGAAAGTTTGGGGAGTAGCTAGTCCTTGAGTCCATGCCTTGGCCCTTATCCCAGGACCAGGTGGCCCTTAAGCCTCTTGAGGTCACAGGTCAAAGGGAGGTGTCGTGTGAGCAGCTGGGAGCCTGAGGAGGGAGCATCAGGCACAGGTGGGCTCAGAGCAGGGAGTTCAGCCATGCCCCAGCGGCAGAGGGTTTGAGGTGCCCTGGGGTTCAGGATGAGTGCGGCATGGGCACCACCTGCTGGCTGCTTCTGGAACTACAGGGCTGATCTGAGCAGAGAAGCACTAGTTGTCAAGGTGGGGGGGCCTCCTCAGAAGTCTTGGTAGGGAAAGAGCCCAGTAGTGAGGCTTGACCTGGCCCTGGGCCCGTTTCAGTTCCTGGACCACCTTCTGACAGGCATCGAGGACATCTGTGGCCACTACGGCCACCACCACTGGAAGGACAAGTAGGTGGCAGGCCTGGTGGGTACGTGGGTGGGGCGGGGCAGGTAAGGGTCTCCCAGGGCCTGGGTGTCACCCCACCCCGAGGAGCTGGCTCCATCCACCGTTTCCCTTCTCCCACCAGGCTCAACCGGTTTAACAAGAAGTACGTCAAGAAGTGCCTGATCGCCGGCGAGCGCTCCAAGGAGCCCCAGCTCATCGCCTTCTACCACAAGATGGAGATGAAGCAGGCCATCGAGCTGGTGGAGAGCGGCGGCATGGGCAAGATCCCCTCTGCTGTCTCCACCGTCTCCATGCAGTGAGTGCGCATGGCCAGCCTGGCGGGTTCCGCCCCCGCACTAACGCCCCAACCCCGGCCGGGAGCAGGCCATGCTGGGGCTGGGGGCGGTGAGCCAGGCCCCTCTGCCGTCCTGTCAGGGCTGTGAGAGCTGCAGGGCCACACTGAGGGCCTGAGGCTCTGCCCCACTCGCACCCCCAGGCCTTCCCCTGAGTGACTTCCTTCTGGCCCAGGGTCACAGGAATTTTCTTGGGGACCTAATCCCTGTCGTGTTGTCCCAGGAACATCCACCCCAAGAACCTGCCTGCCGAGCGCATCCTGCCAGCTCTCTCCAAGGACAAGGAAGAGGAGATCCGCAAAATCCTGAGGAACAACTTGCAGAAGACCAGGCAGCGGGTGAGGGGCGGCTCCCCGTCCACACACACACACACACACACACACACACACACACACAGGAGCCCCTCTGCCCCCTGGCGGCTCCAGCCCTGCCCCACCCGTGCCCGGGGCCTGCCCCGCCTGACGCTGTTCCTCCCACAGCTGCGGTCTTACAACAGACACACGCTGGTGGCAGACCCCTACGAGGAGGCCTGGAACCAGATGCTGCTCCGGAGGCAGAAGGCCCGGCAATTGGAACAGAAGGTGCGTCCGGGACTGGAGCGGCTCCTTCCTTTCTCTGGGCTCTTCCTCTTCCTGCCCCCGCCACTGGGCCTTCTGCAGACGGAACACGCTGCTCCGGGGGTGTTGCTGCTTTGCTTCTCCGCCTGTTTCAAAAGCCGAAAGCTGAGCCCAGGGCAGGTTCCGAGAGGCTTTCTCCCTCGAGTCCAGGCCCCTCGGCGTATCCCCAGGCATCTGTGCTTTGACTCCTCTTGTTCTTGTGAGAACACCAAGGCCCAGGGGAAAGACAGGTGCCCAGAATCACAAAGCAAGGCTCTCCTCATTCATTCATTCATTCATGCATTCATTCATTCAGGAAACATTTGCTGAGTGGTCTTGAAGTGCTAAGCCTCTGTGAATCCCAGCGAGTCCGCCCAGTCCCTCCCTCACGGAATCTCTCATGCAGAGGCCCCTGTAGCACAGGAAGTGCGAGGGGCCCTGAGCACCTTGAACAGGGAGGGCATGGGGGAAGTTTAGGAATCAGAGCCATGATGGGGGAGTGTGGGCAAAGGAAGGTCCCGGCAGAAGGAAGATCATGTGCATAGGTTCTCAAACACAGAATGTAGCCATTCTAGAAACAGAGGGTTCAGCCCTAGCTGGTTTGGCTCAATGGATAGTGTTGGTCTGTGGACTGAAGGGTCCCAGGTTCAATTCCAGTCGGGCACGTGCTCAGGTTGCAGGCTCAGTCCCTAGTAAGGGCTGTGCAGGAGGCAGCTAATCACTGATTCTCTCTCATCATTGATGTTTGTAGCTCTCCTTTCCCTTCCTCTCTGAAATCAATAAAAATGTAAAAAATTAAAAATAATATTTTTAAAAGGAAACAGAGGGCTCAGCTTTAGGGGAAGATTGATATTGGAGTAAGGCTGGGGCTTTATTCTGCAAGCACGGAGAGCCATGAAGGGTGCTATGAAAAGGAGTGACATGGGGATGGGGGAGGCAGCCCAGATTAGGGTGGTGGCAGGAGTGGGTAGATTCAAGAGACATTTGTTTATTTTTTTAATATGCTTTTATTGACTTTTAGAGAGAGGAAGGGAGAAAGGAAGAAGGACAGAAACATCAATGAGAGAGAAGCATCCACTGGCTGCCTCCTGCACACCCCTTCTGGGGATGCAACTCAGGCATATGCCCTAACAGGAATCACACCAGGGATCTCTTGGTTCCTAGGTCAAGGCTCAACCACTGAGCAACACCAGCCGGACTCAAGGGGCATTTAGGAGGGGGAGCTAGTAAAATTGGTCATCGGTTTGAGGTGGGCTGAAGGAAGAGGAGGAGGAGTCGGGGGTCACGTCTAGCCTTCTGATTGGGTAGGTGGGAGTGGTGGCCATGACGGGGGAAGCCAAGAAAGGAACAGGCTATGAGGGGGTAAGAAACTGAGTCCATTCCCAACACGTTGCACTGAGGTGCCCAGGGGCCATCTGGGACCCGGTGTCCACTCCTGAGCTGACTTTATGGATCGGTCCCTCGCGGGCAGGTGTGGATGGAGCCAGACTGGGCAGTGTCACCACGGGAGAGGCAGGGCAGCAGGAGGTCCAGGGCCACCCAGGAGGTTGCACCGCTTGAGGGGAGCCTGGGCCAAGCCCTCAGGAGCCCCGGAAGTGCCAGCACGGCGCAGCCTGATGAGGCCTGGCCAGGAGGGAGTGGGTGCCCATGCACGCCTGTGGCCAGCAGCCCCCGGTGCCATCAGAGGGGCTGCCTGAGCTCATGCCTGTCTTCTCTTCCCGTCAGATCAACAACTACCTGACGGTGCCCGCCCACAAGCTGGACTCGCCCACCATGTCTCGGGCCCGCATCGGCTCAGGTAAGGCCGGGCCCGGGTGCCCGGTGAGGGGCCTGGCGGCTGGGCACTCAGGACCTGGCAGAGCCAGTGGGCGGACAGGAGAGCTGGCTGCCTGGCAGGGGGCGGGCGGGGGCTGCACCATTGGGTCTCCAGCAGGTGGAGGAGGCGAGGGCGACCTTCTCTCAGGCCTGGGGCCCTGGGGTGTCAGTGACTCGGAAAGGAGCCCCCATTCTGGGTCTGACGGGGAACAACATGGGAGAGGGGAGCCCGGGTGTGAGGGAGGAACACCGTCCTACCTTTGAGGTCAGACGGGATGACAGACTGTCTGATGAGAGTTCATGAAGGCCCAGAGGAGTAATCCCGACCCCAGGATCGCTGCCCTCGCAGGGGCTCCCTCCGTGGGGGCGGCTGGCACGGGCTGAGGTGGGGCGCATGCCGCTCCGGGCTCAGGGGCAGAAGCCAACCGGGCCTTGTTCTTGGCCCCCAGACCCACTGGCCTATGAGCCAAAGGCAGACCTGCCGGTCATCACCATCGACCCCGCCTCCCCGCAGTCGCCCGAGTCCGTGGACCTGGTGAACGAGGAGCTGAAGGACAAGGTCCTCGGGCTGACCCGGGACCCCAGGGCGGCCGACGAGGAGGAGGATGTCGGGGGCATCGTGATACGGACCAAGGAGCCCTCTTCCCCCGGCACCGATGACGTCTTCACGGCGGGGCCCGCTGACAGCCCCGGCTCCCAGAGGATACAGCGCTGCCTCAGCGACCCGGGCCCCAACCCCGAGCCCGAGGAGGGAGAGCCGTTCATCCCCAAAAAGCAGTAGCGCCGGGGGCAGGGGGCCACCCTGTCCCACCAAAGACTCTCCCACCAGAGCAGGGGCTGCTGGGAGCTGGGGGCGCCCCTCCTTCCTGACCCGCATGGCAGCTGGGCCCAGCACGGCTTCCCCCTGCCTCCTTGGGAAGCACCCCCGCGACCTCCACCAGAACTGCCTTCCCGTCCGTTCGGCAGAACCGCTGGGCTGTGAGGCAGACCCTGCCCCTTCCCGTCCGGCTCTCTCCCCTCCCCGGAGGACGGCCTTGGAGTTTCCCAGACCTCGGCGCCCCCTCCTCCTCCTTCCTCCTCCTCATGCAAGCCAGTCTTACTTTCTAACCAAAGAGCCTCTGGCTCAGCCCGGGTCCCCCCTGGGAAGGGAAGGAGCCCAGGCCTCTCCTGGCCTCGGCCAGGCCCTTCCTTACCAGAGGAAAGAGGCGGGGAGCAGTGTCTGACCCCCCTGTGCCAGCTTTGCCATCCTGGCCTTTCCCAGAGCTGCGCCTCTGAGCTTCTCCGTGTGGAGTTGGGGCGCTTTGGACCGTGAGTGACTCAGCTTTCCCAGCGCTCTAGCGGGGACCAGCGAGCCCTCGGCGGCTGGTATCAGGAGAGAGGCCTGCAGGGGCTCCAGTCAGTGCTGCCTTTTAACCTATTGTGTTTGTCCCACTCCCATGTCTGATCTGTCTGCACAGAGGCCATTCCTGTTTTTAAAACATTTTCAAAGCCCCTGGCTGAACGAAGCCACGGCCCTCCTCCGGAGAACCCCCCCCCCCTCATTTGGGCCTGACTGCCCAGTGCTCCCCAAATCGAGTCGGTCCTTTGCCTCCTGGACTCGCAACAGTGGCCCCAGGACCTTGATTTCAGAAGCAAACCCCCACATCCAATCATGTTGCTCCCCCACTCACAGATGCTGGGCCGTCCGGTCCTTTGCTCCCCTCCGTCCTGCTGGCCTGTTCTTTCCCTCGTCTCTCCCATCGGCCCCAGGGACCTCTCCCTCTCGGTTCCTGCACCCGACTGGCTGTGGCGCCCAGTCCTCAGGGGAGCAGACCTCCCCTGGGCATTGCCCACCGGCCGGGGCCGGTGGGTGGGCAGAGTCCCAGGCTCCCGGGGCCTCTGCTCACAGGCACACACTCCCACCCCCACTGCTACCGCGGCCAGGCCCGTGGCGTCTCCTCCCGGGGCACCCCCCCAGGATCGTGCAATAGTCAGAGTCCCTCTTCCCAGTGGCCTGGGCAGCGGGTGCTCGCCTGCCCCCCTCCATGCCAGTGCTGATTTGGGCAGGAGTCACCGTGCAAGGGCGACGTGACAGCCATGCTCAAAGCCACCACAGCTGCTGCTGCTCTGCCGCCTGTACAGAAGAAACCAAATCTTTTTCGTATTCTAATAAATCCATATGAGTTTTTAATAGCGTCGAGGGCTGTTTCCTGGGGGGACAAGGGGCTTTGGGGCCTAGGGTGACCCGGGTACCCGAAAAGCCTGGCTCAGTGGCTGGCAGAAACACTTAGTGCCCATCAGCCACGGCTGAGGTTATTACTGCGTGCCAGGCGTCAGGGACACAGCCGGGAGCAGAGCAGCCCTCCTCCCCTCCGGAGCCTTCAGCCTCGGGAAGAGCAGACTCTTCAGACATTCACATAAACCAGGGAAAACCCAACATGTTTGTGAATGGAAGGCGGGGGTGGTGAGGAGGCCGTTCCTAAGTGAGGTCCTACAAATGAGCTGAGGTGAACCAGGTGACGACTGTTCTAGAGTGTTCCCAAGTATTCTAATGGAGCTGCACAGCGAGTACCCTGGGATCTAACAAAAAGACCAGGGTGGCTGGGTCAGGGTGAAGGAGGGGAGGCCAAGAAGGGCCCTGCCGTCCACGGTGAGGGTTTTGGTTTACACGAAGGGCCATGGAAAGGTTCTTGCCTGTAAGGGGGGACAACAGCCCCGGAATGAAATGTGCTCGGGCGTGTGACAGGCTCAGCACAGGGCAGGTGCCCGGAGTATGCTTAGTTCAGCCCAAGTTCTGACCACCAGAGGGCAGTGGGGCCTGGGCTCCTGGAAACCATCTCTGCCCAGCCTGGGACCTCTGTACAAAGCTGATTCAACCCACGAAATCTGAAGTACTCAGTGCCAAGGACTATAGGGAGGGACCATGTCACTTCTGTATAAGTTGGTGTCCCATCAAGAAACGAATAATATGTTCAAAGGATATGGAAGAGCCTCCAACTAAGGGGTCCTTTACAGGGGTGTGGGCAGGGGTCCCACCAGGGAGGGACCCAGGGAGCTCACCCTGCAGGGAGCCAGCGCCACCTCTGTACCTGAGGGGTAATGGAGAGAGCTGTGACTAAGGAGGGGGTTCCCTGCTGGGGCCACAGTCCTGGGGAGCAGAACACAGTCCCTGCCAGGCAGGGGCCCATCGGACAAGCATTCTGACTTCAATCCTGCTGGTGCCTCTCCTCGGCCGGACCCAGCTAGAAGCCAGAAGGAAAGGCCTCAGCGCGGTTTCACTGAGTTCAGTCCACACGGGTCAGCCTTCCAGGAAATGGAGCAAGAGAAGAGTGGGCACAGAGGGGAGCAGGGTATCCGAGCAGAGCGATTCCTTGTGTCCCCCACCACCCACCCTTGTCCGTTGGATGCAAAGCTCATGTCCCTATGGCTACAGAATTTCAATTTGGGGCGATGAAAACGTTTTGGAAATCATTGTGGTGATGCTTGCACAACTTTGTGAAGGTACTAAATGCCACTGATTGTTCACTTTAAAATGGTTCTATGTTATACTAGAGGCCTGGTGCATGAGATTCATGCACTGGGAGGGGGTTGTCTCTCAGCCCTGCCTGCGCCCTCTCTCAGTCTGGGAGCCCTCGGGGGATGTCCGACTGAAGGCTTAGGCGGGGATGCAAACTCATTAGTCAACAGAGCCAAACATCAACAGTACAACAATTGGCATTTCTTTTGAGAGCCACATTTTTCTTCTTCTGACGCCACTTCTTCAAAATAGACTCGCCCAGGCCGTGGTATTTTGTGGAAGAGCCACAGTCAAGGGGCCAAAGAGCCACATGTGGCTCTCGAGCCGCAGTTTGCTGACCACGGGCCCTAAACCATCAGTTGGACATCCTTAGTGCTGCTGCCACTGCCGCTGGGCTTGCCAGCTATGAGCCCAGCTTCTGGCTGAGCGGTGCTACCCTGTGGGAGGGCACTGACCACGAGGGGGCAGCTCCTGCATTGAGCATCTGCCCCCTGATGGTCAGTGCATGTTGTAGCATCTGGTTATTCGCCGCTCGGTTGATTTGCATATTACCCTTTATAGGATGAGTTTCACCTCAGTTTTTTTAAATGGAAAGGGGGGAAAAGTTTATTTCCAACAGGACCTGTCTGTCACATTGACCATATCCTTATCCTTCAGTCATTCTCACCTTGAGCCAAATTTAAAACTTTGGTCATCACTAAGGCTCTTTAAGTAAGACAGGAGGAGGAAATAACAAAAACCCGCTACAGCGCCCCCTGCTGGTAACTGGTCACAGGCTAAGTGAGCAATCGTATATCATCCTTCCACCCTCTCCATGTTCCTCTTACCAGTGGCCAGCACTTTAACTCACGGGGTTCTTTACCTGTTACCTGGTGGGGTGTCCTGAACCTTTATTCCTAGGCAATTCGGGCTCTTACTGATCTTAGGTTTGCCAGGTTGTGGAGCTTCCTGGTAACTGTCATAGTTGCACTGGGGGATCTGAGAGGCACCAGTAAATCATGGATGCAGACATAGCCTTCCTGCCCACCCTCCATTTTCCTTCTGGTCATGCAGATTAGCCAGCCTTTCTGGTACAGTTGGTACCCCTCTCTGCCTTTTGGTTCAGTAACATACACAGCTCAAAATGACCAGTGGGACCCTGGCCAGTGTTCCTCAGTGGTTAGAGCGTCAGCACCAAAGATTCGCAGGTTCGATTCTCGGTCAAACTTGGTTTGTGGGTTTGATCCCCAATCCCGGTCAGGGTGTGTGTAGGAGGCAACCAATTGACGTGTCTCTCACATCAATGTTTCTCTTTCTCCCCTACCTACCTCCTTCCCTTCCATTCTCTCTAAAAATCGATGGAGCCGAAGCCAGTTTGGCTCAGTGGATAGAGCGTCAGCCTGCGGACTGAAGGGTCCCAGGTTTGATTCCGGTCAAGGGCATGTATCTTGGTTGCAGACACATCCCCAGTAGGGGGTGTGTAAGAGGCAGCTGACAGGTGTTTCTCTCTCATCGATGTTTCTAACTCTCTCTCCCTCTCCCTTCCTCTCTGTAAAACATCAATAAAATATATATGTCAATATATATATATATATATATAATAAAAATCAATGATAAAAATATCCTTTGGTGAGGATTAACAACAATACCAACAAAACACCAGTGGAAGGCCTTCCAGTTTAAGAAGCCACATCTGTGTTCTCTGCGGGAAGTAAGCATTCCTTCTTTGGGCGCCAAGGACTCCAGACCCACTAAACACAAAGTTGAGGGGATGAAAGCAAACATTTCTCCAGTAGGTTCCTTGGAAAAATAGTGAGAAGAGCCACTCCCACCTCTACACCGTGGTCCCTGGGCCTCTGTGTTCTGGATGTGAGAGAGGTGACACCATGTATTAGCCACTGATTTAGAGCAGGGGTGGGGAGTGTCTGACCCATGAAATCATTTGGTCCGGCCCTGCCAAGGCATTAGGGGTGAGTTAATTAAACGTGTGACCAAATACAGCAGGCTGATTTCTAAGTTGATCGTTTTGTGTGGCCCTCGAAGGATGTTATAAATATCCACAGGGCCCCTGGCAAAAGGAAGGTTCCCCACCCCAGACTTAAAGCACGTACTGAGTCCTGGTCAGTAACCTAGCCTTGCAGGGTGTCTCCCAGCGGCACTGCCTGTCCAGCCAGCAGCTCTGAGGGACAGGCCACATTGCCAGTCCAGTGTGTTCCGGGGGGAGACCATATGCCCTTCACCCTTTAATGAAGATAGGCGTGTGCGGGTAGCATGGTGATGGATCAGGTATTCTGGAAGTCCGGAAG